ACTTGTGTCGCTAAAGTTTCGTCGGAACGAATTTACGGAAAATTAACTAACGAACGGAAACGTAACAATATAAATAGCATTAAATTGGAAGTCACATGATTTTCGGCATGTGCAAACGGTCGCTGTTGTTATGTGTTGAACTTTCAAAGCCCGCCAGTCGAACACAACTTATGGCCGTTTTTCCTCTAAACTAGACGTTTGGATACTTTTGTTATTTGATTTTAACAAATTTGTCAAGCCAAATGAACTAAAAATTGTTCACAAAACACACATATTTGTCCTATTATATGAAGAATGCATTGGATTATAGCCCATAGGGAAATCTTAATATTAAAATCTGATCTCCAACCACTGCTGTAGTCTCTCTTCTTGTTTATTTTCTCGTTCCTCTTGTTTGTTTGGCTGTTCGAGCTGCCACTGTTGCAGGTTTTTTCTGCCACTGCTGTTGTCTCTCTTCTTGTTTATTTTCTCGTTTTTTTTGTTTCTCTTGCTGTTCTTGTATTGCTGCCATCAAACCTGCTAAGCTGTAGTTTGATTTGCCAGTTCTCGTTGCCATCTTCTTCTCTTCTTTTTCCTTTTTAGCCCCACTCTCTGACATCAATTTGTTATGTATCTGGTCGCTTGTTAATTTCTGGTAAAAGTTCTTTCTGAGGAACTTCAGTGATACAAGTACTTTCTTAATCAAAACTAGTTTATTCTTTCTCGATGCAACTTTTATAATACACAGAATTTCCACAGTCACTTTAAACTTAACAACCTTTGTAACACACGCTATAAATTACAGTGGTTCACACATTTTATTCTACTATTTATACCTACTATTCGCTTGACTCAATTATCTATATCTTCAATCTATCTGCATATCTATTCTATCTATCTGCCTGATCACACTGGTTTTTCTCGCCAGGCTTATATACTAAAAAAGAGGGCACCTCAAACAAACTAGAGTTGCCAGGAAAATTCATGATCTTCCTAGAAACTCCAGCGCATATGCTCCCAACATCGCGTGACTTCCGCTGTCGTAACAGTAATATCAACTCAAATTCTTGCACAAAGTAGTCGCGATAGCCAGTACACTGACTAATTCACTCTACTATCCTGAAATAATTCTACACACTTCACAACTATCTCATATTTATAATATAGTTTCAAATGTACGAGAAAAACTTGATGTCAACTTTCTAGGTGTTCTGGACTTATTTCAACATCATGCACCCTCTAGCTATCATAAGAATTACAACATTAACAAATAGTTTACAAAACTGCTCATTCCTAGATTGTAAAGTCCCTTGAAGAATATTAATGAAAAATAATAAAAAAAACACAATAAGTTTCCTTTTCCAGAGCCCAATGTATGTGGATGGGATGATGTCTTTTGTAGTCACTGGCTATCCTGCCACTAGAACTGTTCTTCCTGGGTCAGATAAATCCACCAGTGTCTCCAATTTTGATGATCCTCTGGAAGTAATTTCGACAGGAACTCCCACCTTCTCCTCGGGTTGAGTTTTTGTTGACAAATTATTGTCTGTAGTGGGCCCGGCATGGCCAGGTGGTTAGAGCACTCAACTCACAATCTGTGGGTTTCGAGTTCGAATCCTCATCCCACCAAACATGCTCTCCCTTTCAGTCGTGGGGGTGTAATAATGTTATGGTCAATTGGACTTCACATTTCATATTTACTCATCGTTATTTTTTGGGAAATTAAGGTGAAATTGTTTCAATAGGCATGTGGTAGTATAATTTATTTTTCACTCTCCAAATATGATAATATAATATCAAAATAACACCGTCTTTGAACTATACAAGGATGAAAAATACAATAACTATTACAGTTTTAAGTTACATCAATCTTAGGTTTTCCTTAATATGGATCAGGTTTTGACCAACCTTAGCTGAGTAATTCACTACTTTTCTGAATAATAATAATAACAAACGTCATAAAATCAGTTGGGTGGTTAGTAGGAAAACAGGGACAACGTAAAAAATAAGAGTTTAACAATAACGACCACCTTAGTCTTTGATTTCGAGAAAATAGGGAAGTTTGTTTCATATGTATAGGATATTTTAACAAGTGAAAAATAGCACTGACTTGTACGAGTTATTCCATTTGTTGTTGGCCCGGCATGGCCAGGTGGTTAGGGCACTCAACTCGCAATCTGAGGGTCGCGGGTTCGAATCCCCGTCCCACCAAACATGCTCGCCCTTTCAGCCGTGGGGCGTTATAATGTGACGGTCAATCCCACTATTCGTAGGTAAAGTTTTTCTAGTTCATCCACGTGTCTTACTTGCTTACAGAAAATACAACTACTAATTTAACTTTATTCTTAAACTTTCTAAATTAATAAAAACTCGTTAAAATGTTGAAGCAATTGTAAATTCCCTCGAAAATAACCCAGTTGCTTTAGGTGTAAACTGTCCTTTGCTAGGAAATGTCTCCTGCTTTGAAGTTTCAAGTTAGTGATGTAAAGGAAAGAGAAGCATTACATCGACATAGAGTGATGAATTTGTAATTTTATGATTTAAAGTGTCAGTAGTAGAGACTTGTCTTAGAAAAAGATCATCAGTATGTCTATTAATGTCACAATAAATAATGCTTGAGAAAAATACTCGAAGGTCCGTACGGAGAGTCAAAATATGTAACAGTAAAGTTTGTAGGTCATTAAAACGGTCATAAGCAGTCATTGAGTTCTGTTTGAGGTCGTTAGTTCCAACATGAAGAATTAGGTATTTTACAGTCTGTGGCAGTAAAGATATAGAGTCTAAAAGGTCAAGTGAAGTGGCTCCATTAATGGATTTAATTAAAACATGTTGGTCTTTAACGTAAAAAAGGTGTTGATACAGGTATTTAATAATAGAATCTCCAAAAATGGCAATGTAAGGTGAAAGAAGAGGTAACTTACCATTGGTAAAATCGGGTCTATGGTCCATGAGTGGAATACCAATCTTGATAATAGAGTTAGCACAACACTGCTAATGCTTAATTAAAGTTGTTTAAACA